GAGGAAGAGGAGGAAGGACAGAAGGAGGAAGAAGAGCAGGGGATGAGGATTTTGTGAGGAGGAAGAGGAAGGAAAAGAGGAAGGACAGAAGGAGGAGGAGGAAGAGCAGGGGATGAGGATCTTGTGAGGAGGAAGAGGAAGGAAAGGAGGAAGGACAGAAGGAGGAGGAAGAGCAGGGGATGAGGATCTTGTGAGGAGGAAGAGGAAGGACAGAAGGAGGAAGAAGAGCAGGGGATGAGGATGTTGTGAGGAGGAAGAGGAAGGAGAAGAGGAAAAGAGGAAGGACAGAAGGAGGGGGAGGAGGAAGAAGAGCAGGGGATGAGGATCTTGTAAGGAGGAAGAGGAAGGAGAGGAGGAAAAGAGGAAAGGAGGAAGATCTCACGAGGAGGAGGAAGGACAAAAGGAGGAGGAAGAAGAGCAGGGGATGAGGATCTTGAGGAAGGAGAGGAGGAAAGGAGGAAGATCTCACAAGGAGGAAGAAGAGCAGGGGATGAGGATGTTGTGAGGAGGAAGAGGAAGGAGAGGAGGAAAGGAGGAAGATCCCACGAGGAGGAGGAAGGACAGGAGGAGGAGGAAGGACAGGAGGAGGAGGAAGGACAGGGGATGAGGGTTTTGTGAGGAGGAAGAGGAAGGAGAGAGGAAAAGAGGAAGGACAGAAGGAGGGGGAGGAGCAGGGGATGAGGATGTTGTGAGGAGGAAGAGGAAGGAGAGAAGGAAAGGAGGAAGATTCCACAAGGAGGAGGAGGAAGAGCAGGGGATGAGGATGTTGTGAGGAGGAAGAGGAAGGAGAGGAGGAAGGAGGAAGAAGAGCAGGGGATGAGGATCTTGTGAGGAGGAAGAGGAAGGAGAGGAGGAAAGGAGGAAGGACACAAAGAGGAGGAGGAAGAGCAGGGGATGAGGATGTTGTGAGGAAGAGGAGGAGGAAAGGAGGAAGATCTCACAAGGAGGAGGAAGAAGAGCAGGGGATGAGGATGTTGTGAGGAGGAAGAGGAAGGAAAGGAGGAAGGACAGAAGGAGGGGAGGAGGAAGAGCAGGAGATGAAGATTTTGTGAGGAGGAAGAAGAAGGAGAGAGGAAAAGAGGAAGATCTCACAAGGAGGAGGAGGAAGAGCAGGGGATGAGGATGTTGTGAGGAAGAGGAGGAGGAAAGGAGGAAGGACAGAAGGAGGAGGAGGAGGAGGAGATGTGACCAGGAACGTGGAAAAGGCGTTTTCACATCCAGAATTCCCTCAGCCCAGGGAAGGGAGGGGGATGAAGAGCCAGAGCTGTGCAGGAACCTCAATGCCAGCGACATTCCCGGTCTGGGGAACCCCTCGGGAATTCTGTCCCAGCGTGCAGGGGAATGCCAGGGATGCTGCACCTGGATGGAGGAGCAGGACAGGGGGAGGCCGGTGACTCCCAGAACTCTCCCAATTCCCAAAAACTCTCCCAATTCCCAAAAACTCTCCCAATTCCCAAAAACTCTTCCTGATGCTTCAGCTCCGATTCCTCTGGGAGTTCACAGATCACTCCCAGTTCCTGAAAAAGCCCCAACTCCCAGTTTGGCTCCTCCAGCTCCCAATTCCCAGCTCACGGTGTGGTTCCTTCAGTTCCCCAAAACTCCTGCACTTCCCACAGTTGGTTCCTTCAACTCCCGAAACTTTTTCCCTTCCGAATTTCCTCCAAAAGTTCCTGAAGCAGCCCCTGGCTCTGAGCGCGGCTCCTCCACGTAGCATCCCCCCCATCCCACCTCAGATCTCCCTCAAAATCCCCCTTTGGATCCATCTCTGACCCCTCCCCGGGACCCCCTACCCAGATCCCCCCCGCCCCGTGACCTTTTTTTTGCCCCGGTGGCAGCGCATGGACCTGGACCGGCGGCGGGAGGAGGCGCGGAATCCCAAGAGGAAACCGCGGCTGATGGAGGAGGACGAGCTCCCGTCCTGGATCCTGAAGGACGACGCCGAGGTGGAGCGACTCACCTGCGAGGAAGAGGAGGAGAAAATGTTCGGCCGAGGCTCCCGGCACCGTAAGGAAGTGGATTACAGCGATTCCCTCACGGAGAAACAGTGGCTTAAGGTATTTCCCTGCGTGGATTTTTTGCGGGGTTCTGCGCTCCTCTAAAATCGCCGGGGTCACTGGGAAAACGTCTGCGGGACCTGGAAAGGGATGTGGCAAAATGTCAATCCAAGGAAAAGCCCAGCAGGTCCTGGAAAACACCTGTGAGGCCTGGAAAGCTTCCCCAGAGATGCCAGAAAACACTTGTGGATCCTGAAAAAAAAAACAAAAAAAAACCCCACAGATCCCAGAACAACACCCCAAGTGTCCCTGGAAGCGGGAGCCCCGGTCCCTTTGGGGAAATCCCCATCTTTCCAGGACCTCCCCCATTCCTTTGGATCCCCAATCCCGAGGATCTCCATCCCCATTCCCCTGCTAGGCCATCGAGGAGGGGACTCTGGAGGAGATCGAGGAGGAAGTCCGGCAGAAAAAATCCTCTCGGAAGAGAAAGCGAGAGCCCGAGGGTCCCGCAGGGCCCCCCCCGAGCGCCCGGAGCCGGGACAAGGACGAGGAGAGCAGGAAGCAGAAAAAACGAGGGCGACCCCCGGCTGAAAAACTGTCCCCAAATCCGCCCCCCCTCACCCGGAAAATGCGGAAAATCGTGGATGCCGTCATCAAGTACAAGGACAGGTGAGGCGGGAAGGGGGTGGCAGGTGTTGCTGTGGGAGGGGTTCCCTGACACAACGGGGATGGGGTGAGGATGATGAGGATGATGAAGGCCACCCTTCACACCCATTTTTTTTTTTCCACCCCCCCGTAGCAGCAGCGGGCGACAGCTGAGCGAGGTTTTCATCCAGCTCCCATCTCGCAAGGAGCTGCCGGAGTACTACGAGCTCATCAGGAAACCTGTGGACTTCAAGAAAATCAAGGTACTGGGATCCACTGGGATCTGTTGGGATCCACTGGAATCGATCCTCTGGTCCCCCCACCTCATCCCTTTTCCTGCTTCCCAGGAGCGAATCCGAAACCACAAATACCGGAGCCTCAACGACCTGGAGAAGGACGTGATGCTGCTGTGCCAGAACGCCCAGACCTTCAACCTGGAGGGGTCCCTGGTATGGAAAACCAGGAAAGGGTGCCCTGAATAACCAGGAACGGCACCTGGGAATGGCCTGGAACAGTTTGGAATAACAATCACGATGGCCTGGAGTGTCCAGCAATGATCCTGAATGCCCCTGGGTTTTTTTTTTTTTTTTCCCCCCCAGATCTACGAGGATTCCATCGTGCTTCAGTCTGTGTTCACCAGCGTCCGGCAGAAAGTGGAAAAGGAGGAGGAAAGCGACGGAGAGGAGAGCGAGGAGGAGGAGGAGGGAGAGGAGGAAGGCTCGGAGTCCGAGGGTGGGCACTGGGATGGGAAGGGAGGGGGAGAGGGGATGGGGATGGAGGGTCAGGATCCATCTGGAGGGTCTGAATTCCTCCCCCCCAGCTCGCTCGGTGAAGGTGAAGATCCGTCTGGGCCGGAAGGAGAAGGTTCCAGAACGTGGGAAAGGCCGGCGCCGGGGGGGGCGGGGGGGACGCCCCAAACCCCTCCTGAGCGACGACGAGAGCGAGGATGAGCAGGAGGAGGTGAGAGAACCTGAGGGTGTCACCAGATCCTGGAAAGATG